TGATGATGATGACAATGACGATGACGATGACGATGACGATGATGATGATGATGATGATGATAATGATGTAAACGATGACAATGATGATTCTGATAATATAAATAAAAATGCTGAAAAAGATAATACTTCCAGTTCTGTATCTTCCACATTAAATTTTGAATGTGTTGCAGAAGATAGTGCTTCTATAAAAGTACGCGATGATGATACTATATCAGTAGAGAAATCAATTCTAGAAGACAAAAAGATTCAAGAATCAGTACAAGAATCATTTTATTCCGATAAAGACTTCTTACAAAGATATGAAATATTTAAAGAATTAAAAGTCTTTTTAATAAAATTGGATGCTTTGAAAGATCTTCATACTAAACATTCAGCTATAGAAATCGAGAAAATAACTAACAAACTTATGAATTCTTTTGTAAATTTGAATTCATCAAAAATTCAACATAATAACCAAAGATTTATAGACAAAATATCTTTTGCTTTGGGTATTTCAAAAGATTCTAATGTTAACTTTGAAAAATCTGTGGTTTATACAATTCCTGAAAAAATACAAACCATAACTGAATTACCTAAGAATTCTTCAAAAAAATCTTTAAATTTAATTAGAAACATAAAGAGAAAAAAAAGGTTAAAAATTAAAAAAGCTTCTTATAATTTAAAAAAATTTTTTGAAGATAAGTCTAAAAACAAACAAAATGTTATTAGTAATTTGAAGCAGAATTCAAATGTTCCAACTCCTGCTATTAAATCTTCTTCACAAGAGTCTACTAATAAAACTTCTGAATTATTAAATATGATAGAAAATGTTAATATAAACAAATCTACTAACACAATGTCTTCCTTAAAGAAACAGAAGCTAGAAATTCCTTCAATTGAAAATTCTGTGAAATCAGTTACTGATGTAAGATCTCCAGAAAAAGCAGAAATTAATACACCTCGGATTACTAATTTCAAATCACATTTTTTAAATCAAAATGAATTTGAGCAAACGATATTTGTATCCAAAACACATGAAAAATCTACAAATGTAATAGCTACAAATATAAGTGTTCCAACTTGTTATTCTTCCACAATGTCTTCTAAAAAGCATAATAAACCTAAAGATAAGAAAGATACCAGGAATCTTACTTATAAATGTATTGTTTGTGATTTTTGTTTTGAAGATTATTCTAATTTACAACAACATCTAACTATACATACACAAAAACAAATTGATAGTTCATTAAACACGTCCAACACATTAGCCGAAAAATCTGAAGAAACAAAATCTCAATCTTCAGAAGTTCCAGAATTGTCACAAATGTCTGAGCACAAAAACGTTGAACATGCGTCATTACAATGTGAAAGTAATAAGCAAAAAAAGAAAAAAAATACTATACCAAGAAGCTTATTAAATAAAAAAAGGAGGAAGAATAAGATTAAATTAAAGAATAAGATTCAACGTATAAGTCATTCAAATGAATGTAGTATTTGTTCAAAAATTTTTCCAACAGCGACTGATTTGGCAGCTCATATCTTTTTACATACAGAAAAAGAATTACAGAAAGGATATAAATTTGGAAAACAAAAATTGGTGGAAAGTGAAAATACTGAAAAAGAAAAATGTAAACAAACTAGAACTGAACAAACTGAACAAATTGAAGAAACTAGAATTGAACAAAATCTTGAAAGTGCAAGTCCAACTGGAAGTACCACTGTAGATAACATAGATAATACAATTGAAGGAATTCACAAAATTAGCGATAAGGAAGAATCATTCCTTGTACAAAAATCAAATAAATTAATTACAAAAGATCCAGAAATTAGAAATACAGAATCTACTGTCTTGAAAGAACACGATTCACAAAGTATAAAATTAGATCTATTGACAAAATCGAGTAAGAACAAAAATAAAATAGAAGGTAATAAAAGAGCAGTCACAGTATGCAAATGTCATAATAAATCGGGAACTAATGAAAATAATTTACAAATCGAGATAGTTCTCCTTTGTCACACTTGCAAAGTATTATTTAGAAGCATGGAATGTTTCGAAACTCATTATCGTCTTTCTGAATATACAAAATGTAATCAGAATCGTTTAACTAGTAGTCGTTCTCCAAATTTATTCTGCGCCACTTGCGGTATGATGTTTAGTTCGGTTCAAGATGTACGTCATCATTTAGAAACACATGTTCGTTTTAAACAGGATTTTATAATGGATTTTCGATGTAATATTTGCAAAGTCGTATTCCTTGGAATAGGAACTCTTTTTTATATTCATTGGTCAAAACATTCAAGAAATCCTTTCTGGATGGCTAGTGAACAATCGTTCCCAAAAAATTCCATAATAAACTCGAAACTAAAGAAAGTAGATAATCTTTCCACACAGAATGCAATAACTTTAAATAGCTCTGTGGAACAATATATACAAGTTGCAGAACACGTGTGTAATAATTGCAAATTGCCCTTTATTACTCAAGATGACTTAAAGAATCATGATCCAAGATGTAAAGAGTCTAAGACAGATCAAGATACATCTGTTGTAGAGAA